CCGCCCCCGGGTCCCCACACCAGCCCAGGATTGGTGGAGCACCCCGCTGCCGTCGTGTGTGCCGTCCCCCCCGCGGGCGGAGGCCGGGCGCCGGGTGCCGGGTCTGGCTCCCTCCCGGGGCCTCGGTTTCCTGGTGGGACCTGAAGAGCCCGGGCCGGCCGCAGGGCCTCCGGGTGGCTGCACGTCCGCAGGCAGCGGCCAAGCAAACGGCAGGGGCTGCTGGGGAGGAGCTGGGGGAGCTCAGCACCGGGCACCGGGTCCTGTCTGGGCGCTGGCAGGCCCTCCCCGTGCCCCCAGGTGCCGCGCGGCGGGGAGAGCGCCGCCTGGGGGACCCCGCTGGCCCTTCGGGGCAGGGAGCCCTCAGGAGGACCGGGCGCCCCCAGAGCCTTCACGGGCCGGGCCGGGCCGCGGAGCGCTTCGTGTGCGCCTCCCACGGACCCACGTTCGCTACGTTACCCCCAGCACAGCTCCTGAGTTTCCCCAACACGCGCACGACTGTCAGGGTATGACGCAGCCTCCCGGCCCCGGCCGACGGGCCCGGGAGTGATGCGGGCTCAGCAGCCACCTCACCGCGATGTCCCCTCGGGTGCCGGCCCCTGGCGGGAAGCGGCGGGTGCTGGGCCTCTGTCTCCTGTGGGGCGTGCGGCCCCCTCCCCGCCGGCTCCCCTGTTGGGACTGCGCACTGATGTCACACCGTCCCTGAACCAGAGCCTGGGGGACCCGAAGGAGCGTCCATGGGCCGCGCAGCCACCTTCCTGGGGCCCCCTGGCACACTAACCTCTCCCACAGGTGCCGGTGTCACGGATGCTCACGGGCTGGGGGAGGAGCCGAGACTCGAGGTGCCACAGGATGCAGATCCTGAGAACACGACTCACGGTCTGACTCCCTGGAACAGTTTTCTTCCCCTCAGTGGAGAGAGGTCCTGCGGCCTCTTGCTCCGTGGAGTCGCATCAGGTGAGGGCTGGAGCAGGTGGCTGTGGGGCCCAGCTCCTGCCCCGCGGGAGCGCTTCCATCTGAGCAGGTGACAGAAGCAGGGAGCCCCCAGGAGCGGGTCCTCCAGCCCGGGGGCCACGGAAGGCCCGTGGGGCCGAAAACAGCAACACGGCAGTGCTGGCGCAGGCCGCCCAGGCCTCTGCCCTTCGCTGGGGGGCGAGGCTGCCACTGGGACGTGGCGATGCGGTCCCTGACTCTGCCCCCCCTCCCTGCCCTCGCCTGGGCACCGCTGGGCCGCGGAGGGGCCGTCCTGCCCCGGGAGGCTCCCACATTCCCTCCGTCCCTGCTCACGGAGCACACCTGCACCTGGAGTGCAAATACTTTACCAACTGGTCTGAGCATCACAAAAACTAAATTTACTGCCAAAACAGCAGAACCAGGTCTCGGCAGAGGAGGAGCCCTGCCGTTTGCCAGGGCAAAGCCACCACGGGGCACCAGGTGAGGACGAGCATGGGCCCTGGGCCTCTGCCCGCGTTGTCCCTTAGCACCGAGGGCCGGGGCGACCCTGATCCTGGGGGTCGATGCTCAGGACACCTGTTAGAGAAGTCTGGGTGCTGAGCTTCCCTCCCCTACCCGCTGCACGCGTCCAAACCCCAGATCCCACCCTGCAATGCGGACAGGATGCTGCGGGGGAATGTGGTCATGCCCAAGTGTGTGTGTGTGTGTGCACGTATGTGTGCACAATCTGTGTGTACGTGTCTGTGTACATGCACACGTGTCTATGTGCACGCATGTACACTCCATGTTCACATGTGTATGTGTGTGTTTCTGTGTGTGCGTTACAGGTGTTTGCACGACTATGGGCACAGTCCCCCAGGCTTTAGAACCCTGGACTGCGGGGTCAGCACCCCCCCGGCCCTCCCTCTTTAACTGGGAAATGAGAACAGGCACGGGAGCAGCACATGCCTAGGCGCTGAGGCCGCAACCGCGCCAGAGCCGGCGAGCAGGTGAGCAACCGCCCTGGGGGGGCAGCTGGACCCTCACTGAGCCCTGGGTCAGGGCTGGGGGTCACCAGCATCACGAGCCTGGACGAGTCTCCGGCAGAGTCAGAGCTGAACCAGACGCTCGAAGCCCCAGGCCTCTGCCACCGCTGGTCACCGGTCCCCTCGGCCCTCTGGACCGCCCGTGTACTCAGTGAGGGCTCGCACACGTTCGCGGGAGGGAAGGACATGGCCCTGCCCCACCTGAAGCCAGCAACAGAGCGGCCGGGGCACAGGATGGACGTGGTGCCTGAGGTCAGAGCAGGGCAGCGGGCAGGGCTGCAGGGGACCCGACAGGAGCCGCACAGCTGCTCCACGTGGGCAGGGCCTCCGTGGGGACTGCCGTGCACCCAGGGAGACGCGTTCCGGGTACGTGGTGGAGGCAGGGCTATTTCTCAGGGCGACGGTCTAGTGGGAAGACCCCTCGATGGCCTGGCACACACGAGCCTTCATTCTGGAAGTCTTCACTGCCGTCAACAGTCTGAGGGAGACTGAATCCCGTTCCCTCCCGGGGTCAGAGGAGGGCCCGGGCTCTGTGGGCACCTCCTCCCGGCTGCCTGTCCATGTGGGGCCCAGGGCCCGGGGCCTCTGCTCCAGCTGCCCTCCCAAGCAGCTCCGCTCAGCCCAGCTCCAGGCTGCACGCTCAGAAAATGCCCGGCTGAATTCAGGAATGACTATTCAAAGTTGCTCAGAAATCTGATCCCAAATCCTCTCATTTCTAAATATGATTTCTGAGCCCAAGTGCCCGGGGATGGGCTCCTGTGGACGGGGAGGGCTGGCCGCCTCCTGGGAGACATGCAGGCTTTTCTGCTTTGGAAAGGGGGGCCTTTTGATCGGCCAACACCTCCCCACTTGTAGCACGGTCGGGAGAGGGGCACACACAGACAGGCACCCTCCCACCCCCCACCCCACCCCACCCCACCCCCGTCAGGAGTCACTGCTTAAAAACAGTGGATGTTCCCCTTGACCTGCCCAGTGGCCTGGAAGGCCAGGTGGGGGATGCGAACCCGGGGCACCTCTCCTGGGGCGTGCAGAAGGGAGCGGGGGTGGTGGTGAGGCTCCCCCCGCAGCGGTCAGCACGGAGGGAAGGGAGCCTGGCGCGAGCCTTCCATGCACGTGGCTCGGGCCTTCAGGGGAAGACGGCGCGGCCAGTCTCCAAGGGCTCCAGGAAGCCAGCGAGCACCGGGTAAATGCCCGGGCGGCACTCTGTCTGTGGCGCAGAAGGGGGGCCTGTCTGCAGTCGACGCTCAGCAGACATCTGGCAAATGGGGGAACGACCAGGATGCACCCTGGGTGCGTGGCTGTCGCAGCCTCCGAGCACAGGGAGTCCGAGGAATGACCCTCTGGGAGGTGAAGTGGTGCCACTTAGGCGTCTGATCGCACAGGACCGACAGAGGGGATGTTTCGGGGGCTGCGCTTGCTCTGCTGCGGCTTGTTGATGAGGATTCCAACCCGCCAGCTCCTGGCCGAGCCCCTGGGAGCCAGAGGGTTGGGCCCTGGGTGGGGGCGTCTCCCGGGTCGGCAGCGAGTGCCACGGGCCTGATCTGCTGACCCAAACCAGCCACGTGAGCCCTTTGAAGGCAGGAGGCGTCCTGCTAGGCCCCTGGGCACAGCGGGCCAGAGAGGAGCATTGGGGGGGGGGGAGGTGCGGGGCCCCTGAGGCCGCAGCAGGCAACTTCCCACTGTTCATGGCCCGCGGCCCCATGTGCTGTTGCCTCCAGTGCAGAGACCACATTGCAGACAGGCAGCCGGGCTCTACTATCCTCCCTGCTGCATGTGGCTGGGGTAGGGGTGCTCTGCACGCAGGGGGCCCCGCAGCCACAGGTTCTCAGCACAGGCGTTGCGGGGGGCACTCGGTGGTGGCTTGTGGAGGGTCAGCCGCAGCCCAGGGGATGACGGGCAGACGCCAGCTCCCCGCCCCAGCACACCGTCCTACTTCCAGCACGGGCCCTGCTGTAGGCGTCCAAAGACAGCCAGGTGGGGACGGGGCGGGGGCACCCCGGCCCCCTCCTCTGGATCCGCTGAGCACCTGCAGGCTCCACCCAGACCCTCCATCCTCAGGCCACGCTGCACCTCCATGGCTGCCTGGTCCCAGGGCCATGATGCCACCCCAAGTGGCATTTCTGCCCAGACCTCCTCCCACTCAGGGCCCTTGCCAAGTGCTCCCTGACCCAGAGGCCTTCTCTCCAGGGCCGACTCCCCCATCTGCCGGGACGCCTTGTCCCAGCCGCTTCCCTGGGGGGGGCTCCCCCCGGGCTCCCGCAGCACCTCGCTGAGGCCCTCGGGGGCTGCTGGCCACTGGGCCCCAGTGTTGCCCCCCACGCAGCTCCCCACCCGCCACCACGCCCAAATACGTAAGACCTTCCCCGCAGAAGCAACTTTGTCATCACCACCAAGACGTGCCAGGAAGCACGCGAGCGCTTCCACGTGCTTTCTCCTGAATCCTCTCCCCCCTGAGGTCAGGGCTGCCATCACCTGGCTCACAGCCAGGACTACTGGGGCTTAACCCAGGAACCGGTGCAGGGGCCTCGGGCTCGGCTCCCCCTCCCAAGTGTGAGCAGGGGCAGGGCAGCCAGGAGGCACGGGGGCGGTGGGGGGGCCACATGGGGGGACGCACCTAGCCTCCGGGGCCACGAAGCCTTTGGGAAGCTGATGAAAGTGGCCGCCTTAGCTCTCAGGGACTTTGGGGACAGCCGAGGCCCATCTGTGGAGCATCAGAGCCGTCACTGACCTGACAGCCCAGCCTCCTGAGGTAGAAGGAGGGGATGCGATGGGGGCTGAGAGCTGGCAGGTCCGCAGTGAAAGGTGGGCAGGGGGGTGGGGCTGCCCCCAGCACCCGGCCCCCTCCCCCTGCCCCTTCCCAGCCGCGCAGGAGTCACATTTCCTGGTGACCCCGCTCCCTGTCCCAGAGGGTGCACAGCCTGGGGAGTCTTGTCAGCTGAGGGGCAGAGAAGCCGGACGCGCCTTGAGGGAGTGCCTGCTGGCCCCTGCCCTTGCCCGCCCTCCCCCCCGCGACGCGCTGCTCACCTGGATGACCACCTTGATGGTGGCGGTGCCCACGACGGGCGTGCACACCAGGCCGCCGGGGTGATGGCCGTCGGCACTGCGGTTCTGCTGGCCCATGGTGAAGGGCATGGGCACGGCCAGCAGGCCCGAGGTGAGCCAGATGACGCTGATGAACTTCTTGGTGCGGCTGCGAGACATGAGGGTCTTGGCCCTGAAGGGGTGGCAGATGGCCAGGTAGCGCTCGACGCTCAGGCTGGCCACGTTGAGGGCGGTGGCGTAGGTGCAGGCGTCGCGCAGGAAGTAGTAGCCGCGGCACACGGCGTCCCCGAAGGCCCAGGGGTGGTGCACCCAGATGAAGTTGTAGAGCTCCACGGGCATGGCCAGCAGCAGGATGAGCAGGTCGGACAGCGCCAGGCTGCCCAGGTGGTAGTGCACGGTGCTCTGCAGGTTCTGCAGCGACTTCTTGCGGCCCAGCGTGAACGCCGTCACCGAGTTGCCCACCGTGCCCACCACGAAGAGTGCCAGGTACACGGCGGTCACCGCCACCTTGGAGTAGATGTCCGTGTTCACGTCCAGGTCGCTGCTGGGTGCCGCTCGCGGCCGCTCCGACTCGTTGCCGGAGCCATTGCCGAGGCCCAGGCCGGGGACCAGCAGCGCCGCCTCCAGCCCCGAGGGCGGCAGCGGGAAGGGCTTGGCGCCCGGAGCAGCACCCCGGGGCCCGGGAGCCGAGCCGTTGAGGCGCATGGTGGGCGCTGCTCCTGCGGGGGCCGAGCAGGGGGAGCCAGTGGGGAGGCCCCGGGACTGCGAGCGGGCGCCCCGTCCAGCCCCGGCCGCGCTCCCCGGGCGCTCGAGGCCCCGGCTCCCCGCTCCTGCCTGCCCAGCTCCCCGCGCTCCGGCTGCACCGGCTCCCCGGGCTCTGGCTGCACACCTGGGTCCGGGCGCAGAGAGGGGCGCACGCTGCCTCGGTCACTCGCCCCCCGCGCCCCCGGCGCCCCGCGCCCGCACCACCCGCCGCGCCCGCGCCCTCCGGGGCTCCGCGCCTCCACTCGGCTGGCGGCGGCGCGGCGCGCCCAGCGCGGGGGGCGGTGGCGGCGGAGGCGGAGGCGGCCCCAGCTGGTGTCCCCGCCCAGCCCCGCGCAGGGCCGCCCGGGGGCGGGGAGGGCGGGGATGTCGGCTCTGTCCCCGCAGCCTCCCCCGAGCGTGCCCTTCATTCCCCGTGGTCCCAACTTCTCACGCGCCCCCCACCCACCCCAGTAAGGGAGCTGGCCCGCTCCCCCAGGGGGGGTGAGGGAGGTACCGGGGAGGGGGGATAGGGCGCCGAGCCCCCTTGGGGTGGCTGGGGTGCTGCAGAGCTGGTGGGCTGCCCTTCCCTCTGGGCTGTGCCCCGGCTGGGAGTGCTGGACGAGGGGAGGCAGAGAGCCGCGGGCTCCTATCCCTGGCACCCCGGGGAGGCTTCATCCCCCCATGGGCGTGGGTGGGCACCCCACCCCTCTTATCACCACCTGGGTTGGATCACAAGTCACCCCAGAGCCGTGGCCCCAGGGGTCCCAGTCTTGCCCTGTGTGGACCTGGCCGGTTGTACCTGCAGGCTGGGGTGGGTGGGGGCTGAAGAAGGTGTGAGGCTGAGAAGCTCACCAGTGTCCCCCCACCCCACCCCCCCCCCCCCGCCCTGCCCCGGCCCAGACCTGTTCACCGTCCGCAGCTGGAGTGGGGCTGTATTAATTCCTCTTTTCAAATGGCTTTGGGCCTGCCTGTTCCGCAGAAACCTGATGTTCTCATCAGGGGGTCCTAGTGCATAAAAATGTGCGCTTAAAAATTCAGCCTTCAAGGCAACAGGAACATCCCGCACGCCTTGGTCCTGGTCCTGCCGCTCGGCTTTGGGCAACCGCTGGAGCTGCTCTGTGCCTGGGCTCGTCATCTGTAAAATGGGCCTGAAGCCAGGACGGATGGGCCCTGGGGCCAGGGCTGCTTCTGATGCCGGTGGGGCTGGCACGTAGTCGGTGCCCCGTGACAGGCATTGGTGACAGGACTGTGCAGTGGCTTCAGAGGATGTGAGGGTGAAGGGCCCAGGCCAACAAAAGTGGCGTGAACCCCCAGCGGGTCAGACCAGCTTGCTCTCTGGGAGGCAAGCCTGCCAACAGTCAACGGCTCCTGGGATGGGGACCTGAGCGTGCCGGTCACCCAAGGAAGTGATGGTGCCAGACCGTGTCGGAGCCTCAGGTGCTCACTGCCACCTGGGCTCACAGGTGACACGGGGCGGGGAGTCTTCCCACGACGGCGGCGTCGCTCACCGCTCTCAGGGGCCTCCGGGGGGAGGCTCTTTGCCGGCCAGTAGCTGAAGCGCCTCGGGACGCCGCCGGTGGAAACGCGCTGTGGTCCAGCTGCTTAAGCTCACTGTTTGGTTTTCAAGCCCTGACCTTTCCGCCAAGCTGGCCTTCTTTTCGAGATTTCTTTCCGAGCCAGCCTTGGAGCTTAACCAATCCTAAAAGTCAACTTAGCTCAAATATTGGACAAGGCATTTGCTTCACACCATGGAGGAAATGTCACTCGGAAGGTGCACGAGGCGGGCGCGGGCCCCGGTGGGGGCTCCCTGGGGGCCGGCTCGGAGCCCCTGTCCCGTGTACGGGGAGCCCCACAGCGCGGAGGCCCTTTCTCCCTCTGACTTCCCCTGACGTGAGCACTTCCTAAACAGCTGAGACCCTTCCCAGTACGTGTCGGCGAGGTGAGGGGAGGGCGGATCCTGGGTGCGGCTGTGTCTCCGGGTGACCGGGCCGTGCCCTTGGCGGGTGCCCGGCCCCCACACTCACATGCCGAAGCCTGGCACCTGGCTGGCTTCAGGGGGGCGGAGCCCTGCAGCGTGAGCCTCGGGGCCTGTCACCCTGACCCCACGCTCCAGATGCCGCTGGCCCGTCCCGTAAGTCCTGTAGGCACTGAGGGCAGGGCCCCCTGGGCAGAACCCCGCACCGCCCCGGCCCTGTGGCTGTGGGAGGAGTAGGGGCATTTACTCCCCCCAGAAAAGAAGATCACGGTTGTGAAGACGACCCCTTTCCTGGCTGCAGGAATTCAGTCCCTGGCTTGGGCCGGGCCGTGGGCTCCCCTCTGCACCGGAGGGCCCTGCCTTCCCTCTGGGCCCATCGGCTGCAGGGCGATCCTTGCCAGGGAGAGACCTCTTCCTAAATTAAAAATAATAATAAGTGAACAGCCGTACCCGTATCAGTACAGAATTGATGATGTTTCCTGCAAGGCTGGGGGCAGGGGAGTAGCGCTAATGTGGAAATGTAATTTGAGGAAATGTGATATGTATATACGTGCAGAGTCTTAGCTGTGGATTTTCTCATCCACGGCATGGAAATCACACACGTTTCCGAATGTACAGCATTCCAAGGAAAATCTTAAAAATAGAGCAACACATGTGCAAGTGTAAGCGAAGTGTGAGTGTGACCGGCCAGAGGGGCTGCAGAGCCTCCTTGCGCTCCCGTGGGGGCTGTCGGCAGACCCCAGAGGTCCAGCGCCGGGCCCACGGAGGGCTGCCGTCTCGTCCTCGTCTCTCCTGTCCTGCTGGACCACCTGCCCTTCAGAGGCACACGTGTGTGCGTGTGTGTTCAGGTGCAGAATGTTGGGCGCCCAGGCCTCGGAGGGTCCTCACCGGCAAGCCCGCCTCCTGCCTCTGCGCTGGGCCCCCTGGCTGGGTGTGCGCTCCTCAGACAGAGCCGTGCCCGCGTGGGGAGGGAGAGGAGCCCCCGCGGGGGCCGCGTGTGTCCTGCATCACCCTTTCCTGGGAGCTGCTGCGCAGAATCTTGACTGGGCTGCAGCTTCTGCGTCGAGGGTGCAGTAGAGCCATGGGAGAAGCCTTCACTGAAGGGCTCCTCCCAGGCCCGGGCCCCTCATCCTTGGATCTCTGTGGATAAACACGGACGAAGAGTGGGTTTCCATTGCCCGGAGGCCCTGTCCCTAGTGCTCCCGCTGCATCCCCCATCCGTGGGTCCACTGCCAGCACCCAGGGACTCGGGGCCGCTCCCTGCAGCTCCCAGCAAACTGTGGGAGCCTTACGTGCAGAGGTGTTTGCAGGGGGAGGGTGTGGGGTGCGAGGGGAGGAGGGCTGATGGGACGGGGGGGGTGGGCACAGGGTGGCCCGGGGTGAGGGGAGAGGCCGCGGGGGCTCAGCTCTGGGCGCCAAGGCTGGGGGCGCACAAGGTGGGGTTTGTTCCCTCTGGGCCTCGTGGAACACTGCGCCCTGGGACCCTCACCCCCCCCCCCCAGAGGCCGGCGCCTCCTCCTCCGTGACCCTAACCACCCGGGAGAGCTCTGGCCCTCCCAGAGAAGGCCGGGGGCCCGTGGAGCCCCCCAGCGTGAGCCTCGCAGGGAGCTGGGGTCTGGGACGCAAGGGGCGGCATCAGGTCGTCTCCCAAGGAGAAAGAAGATCCAACTTCCGAGACACGCTCAAGGCAGCCCGGTGCCCTGGAAGTTTCCTAGGAGGCTTGGCTTCGGCTTCGTGTTGTGTTGGGCAGGGGCGTAGGGGCGCTTGTCCGAGCTGCCGTGGAGGCCGCGCAGCCGCATCTCTGGACCAGGCTTGGGAGTGACGGTGACCCCCCCCCCCGTCCGGTCCTGCAGGGGGGAGGGTCCCCACTTTGCTCTTGTGCAAAACGCGCACCCCCCCCCCAGCGCGTCTCCCACAGAAGGACGGCCGAGCCCATCTGCTCCCGTGCGGGACCAGCAGTCTGTCGTCGCTCGCACCCCGGGAGCCTGAGCGCTTATGCCTGTTATGAATTTACCAATTTGTGGTTGAATTTCCCAGGCGCGCTTCTGAACAGAACAGGCGGTTTGAAGCCAAAACGGTCCCGTTGGGCTCCCACGAGGCTTCCATTTGTTATCAGGAGAAAGGGGACCGGGAGCCGTCGGCTCGGAGCGCTGGCCGCCTGACAGCAGGGTGGGGGACCGCCCGCGCCCTCCCGCCCCAGGCTGCGCCCGTGGAGGCAGGTGGCCCTGGGGCAGGTGGGCCCCGGCGCCTCTGTCCCCCGCCTTTCTGACTTCTCTCCCCCTTGGCGGGGAGTTGGGGTTTGCATAAACATGATGCTGGCGGTTCCAGCTCTTTCTCTGCGGATCCGAAGCACGCTCCCTTTGTCTGTAATCAGGAGTTCTAGTTGCTTAGAAATATTTAAATAGAAGAAATGTCTCTCATCTTCTAGTGACTTCATACAAGTTCCAAAAATAAAACCCGAGCCGGAGGCTCTATTGTCATGATGCCGTGGAGCTCCGGGGCCGAGCAAGGCCACGCCCACTCGAAACACCGTGGCTGGTCTCCCGGGGGCTGAGGGAGGTGACCTCGGGAGCTTGGATGGAGGAGGGGGTCCCACAGAGGCGCAGCGGCCGGCCAGGCGTCCGGTGGTTCCGGTGCGGCCCCCACGGCAGGCCTGGGACCTGGAGAGCCGTGGCCGCTGGGGCCCAGCCGAAGGGCATCAGCAGGCGTCCCCGTGTCCCTCTTCCCTCCACCCTGCATCTCCCCTGTCAACACAATGAGTCCTGCCCCGCAGGCAGGTGTGTCTGGGTGTGATCTGGCCAGCGGGTGTGCAGAGAGGCGCCCAGCCCAGTTAGGTCCTCCTCTGGCTTCTACGGCCTGGGGTGTGTTCAAGGCCATGGGACCCTGGGCTGGAAGCTACGGCAGAGATGCCCAGCAGCAAAGGGAAGGTGCTGGAACCCCCTTCCCTGGGAACCTCCCTCCCGGGACCCCCACCTCCCTGGGACCC